TCCTTAGTTGCCCCTGACTGATACTGTTTGGAAGACAAGCACTACTGCCCTTTGTGTTTTTGTGGATGTAACTTAGGTACTTTAAAAGAATGTGTAGTCCTTCTATGTTAGGGGAGTGAATGTTTCACACATGCCCTTGATGAGGCTTGTATTTCAATTTTCTGAATCTTGTATCTCCTTATCTATCTTTTTCTTCTAGCTCTATCAGTTACAGAGTGAAGAGTATTAAAAATCTACCGTTCTGGGAGTCTGCTTGGGATTCTCTCTTTCTCTCCCCCCCAAAAAATAAAGAAATAAATCTTAAAAAAGTGTGTGGGGGGGTGCCTGGGTGGCTCAGTTGAGTGTCTGACTCTTGATTTCAGCTCAGGTCATGATCTTAAGGTCGTGGGATAGAGCCCTGCGTTGGGCTCTGTGCTTGGCAGGGAGTCTGCTTGGGTTTCTCTCTCTCCCTTTCCCTCTGCCCCTACCCCCTGTCAAATAAATAAATAATTATTTATTAGAGAGGGAATGAGAGAGAGAGAGCACACAAGCAGGGGCAGAGGGAGAAGCAGACTCCCTGCTGAGCAGGGAGCCTGATGCAGAACTTGATCCCAGGACCCTGGGGTCATGACCTGAGCCAAAGGCAGACACTTAACCGACTGAGCCACCCAGGCGCTCCAATAAGTAAATCTTTAAAAAAATCTACTATTGGTGGTAGAACTTATTTTTGTAATTCAAGTGTAGATTTTTTTAGTCTATGTTGTCAGGTATAGATTCAGGACTATTATAAACTTCTTGGTGACTCTCTTTGACTCTAATAATGTTTTTTGCTCTAAAGTTTATTTTGCTAATATTAATAGTGTTTGTGATGGTTCACTTTATGTGTCCATTTGGAGGATCTTTTTGGATGAGATTAACATTTAAATCAGTGAACTCTGAATAAAGCAGATTGCCCTTCATAATGTGAGTGGACTTCATCCAATCTTTTGAAGGCCTGAATAGAATGAAAAGACTGGCAAGAGGGAATTCTTTGGCAGACTCCCTTCAGACTTGATCTGCACAATCTGCTCTATTGGGTCTCCAGCCTCCCTGCCCACACTGCAGATTTTCAACTGGACAGCTTCCCTAATCACATGTGCCAATACCTTATAATAAATCTCTTTCTATATATGTACGCACATCCTATTGGTTCTGTTTCCCTCGAGAACCTGGACTAATACATAACAATACCAGTTCTTTAAAACTTATTAGGTATATCTTTTTTCCTCTTGGAAACGGTGGTCTCCTGCAAATGGTGGTCTTTTATTTTTTTATTTTTTAAAGATTTTATTTGAGAGAGAGAGATAGAGAGCATGAGCAGGGGAGAGGGGCAGAGGGAGAGGAAGAAGCAGACTCCCTTCTCAGCAGGGAGCCCAAATGCGGGGCTCGATCCCAGGACCCCGGCATCATGACCTGAGCCAAAGCCACCCAGGCACCCCAAATGGTGGTCTTTTAGAAATAGCAAATAAGTATTTTGTTTTATATTTTCATGCAATCTAAGACTTCTGTCTTTTAACCATTAAGGTTTCCTCTGTTTATATTTTCTGTGACTATGCCATGGATATTTGGACTGATTCCTACCGTCTTGTTTTTGTATTTTGTTTTTACAATGATGTTCCTTGTTCTTTGCTTTTTTTTTCCCCCCGCTCTCTTCCTGTTTTTTGTCAAATTGATTGTTTTCTTATTTCAAATGGAGAAACTTAAGCTTGGGTATCTCCAATAAAACCAATTTCCAGGGAGAAAAAAAAAATTCAGAAATAGAAAAAAGAAAGTTAAAACGGGGCCACAGAAAATTCTGGCTTTTTTTTTTTAGAGAGGGAGAGGGGTACAGAGGGGCAGAGGAAGAGTGAGAGAATCTTAAGCAGGCTACATACCCAGTGCATAGCCTGATGCTAGACTCGATCCCACAACCCTGAGATCACGACCTGAGCCAAAATCTGGTCGGATGCTTGACCGACTGAGCCACCAGGTGCCCCAAAAATCTGGATTCTTTTTTTTTTTTTTGCCTCAAGAAAAAAATCCAGATTCTTATAAGTTAAAAACTCTATGCTTTAATAATAGAATTTTGATTAAAAAATGAACTTTTAAAATTTTTCATTTGATATCCTTGATATTGACTTCCACAGGACAAGTGAGAAAATCTTTAGTTCTTCAGCTAATTTGATTTTTCTGTTGTTGTTGTTCTCCTTCCTGGTGTGATAAGCTGCGCTGTTCAATATGGTAGTCATGAGGCAGATGTGGCTATTTAGTTTAAATGAATTAATTAAATTAATTACATTTAAATACGTATTTATTTTTAAATATTTTATTTGAGAGTGAGCGAGCGTGTGCAAGAGTGGGGGAAGGGGCAGAGGGGAAGGGAGAAGCAGACTCCCTGCTGAGCAGGGAGCCCAATGTGGGGCTCAACCCCAGGGCTCCAGGATCATGACCTGAGCCTAAGGCAAACACTTTACCGACTGAGCCACCCAGGTGCCCCTTAAATATGTATTTAAAATTCACTTGCACTGGTCATATTTCATGCACTCTGTACCTCCAGTTGGTTAGTGGCTACTATTTTAGACTGCAGGGAAGGGCCAGCAATCCCTGTATCAACAGATGAAAGGAAAGAGAGGAGAAGGCAAGGGGGTCAACGCTCAGAGACGAAAATCCTTTGCTCGTCTTTGCTCCCGCTTTTATTGGTCCTTCAGAATAATCACAAATCCTTATCACTGTTTCTCAGGCACGTGATGTGTGACGAGGGGTCTTACTGGAACTAGGAGGATCTGTTTACAGGAAAGATACGATATGCTAATCTGTGTGTTCTCCGAATTCTGCTAAACATAGCCTAGGGGACAATGCATAAGTCTCTTAGATCACAGGGCGGCTGTTTGGGCTAAGAAAGCTTCGGGGAAGGCAACTCCCCGTGGCATTCCTAAGGCAGAGTGGTCATGCAGGCCTCGGCATTCCAAAGGCCTATGCCCTTCTCTGAAACCTTCCATCGTCCCCAGCAGCTTCTGTGTTACATTTTAGCAAGCCAGGTATTATGGCTGATTTCATGCTCTCCATTAACCCCAACATTAGACAGCGCAGATTATAGAACATTTCAATCTTTGTTTTTTAAATTTATTATTTTGGGGGGGAGGGGCAAAGGGTAGGGGGAGAGAGAGAATCTTTTTTTTTTTTTTTTTAAGAAGAGAGAGAATCTTAAGCAGGATTCACACCCAGAGCAGAGCCTGACACAGGGTTTGATCTCACAACCTTGAGATCATGACCTGAGCTCAAATCAAGAGTCAGACGCTTAACCAACTGAGCCTCCCAGGCGCCCCGAACATTTCTATCTTTGTAGAAAATTCTACTGGACAGGAGGTGATAATCCTGTAATAGTACTGTAGCTTCATACACCTTGGAGCTATTTAAGAGACTGCATCATGTTGCAGACTTTAGACCTGACAATCTATAGCAGCATTCTTCCAGCATCTTCTGCTCCTATGTAGAGCAGTGACCAGCATGGGGAACAATGCCCCCTATGGAGACTATTGGGCAATCCTGCCCCTGTACCCAGACTTTCAGGCTTGATGCCCACCGGACATTGGAAATAATTTATATGGAGTAACAGCTTAGGGAGTGGTAGTGATAACAGGGGCTGAGGTTTTAACTTCTGTACGGTAGTGGTCTTGATCTGAATGGTAATGGGGAGGCCAAGAAAGGCTGAAGCATTTCCATTTGAAAGGGTTGGGCATGACCCAGACTGGGCTGTAGCATTTGGGATTCCTTTGAAGCTTTGACCTCCCCATCTTGTTAGACTGGTTTAGGTCTCATCTGAACTAACTAGTTAGGAGGTCTGCCCTGAGCCTGTTGCAGTGATGACAAAATTGACCAATAGCTGCAGTCTGAAACTGATTTAGGTTGGCATTGGCAGGGAACACCATGCCAGCTACCATCTGCCCCTGCATATCCTGGATGGGCAGGTGAGACTCTCTTGGTCAGCCAACACATATCATCAACACACATGTGCCCATTCATTGCAGGAACAATGCCTTTTTTTTGTTGTTGTTGTTGGGAATAGCTTTGCTTCTTTGAAGGAGAAGTTGAGAAAGTCCAAGCTCTTTGCTTTTTTATTACTTCAGCATCCAAGAAAATTCCTCCCATAACTTTTCACTGTCAGCGTGTAGCCAGATTTGTATTTACCTGGATTGGATTCTTTCATGTTTCAGCTGCTCAAATTTCTGTTTTTACCTTGGCTTATGCTCAACTTCTGTGCAGAGCTGACAAACACGATTTTTCCCCACTCATTTCCTCATGATTCATTTCTTCCACACTTTGTTGGTATTGTCAAATTTTTTGCAACTCACAAAAGTCTGGATTCCCCACTGGGATCTGTTATCACCTTGACGCTTCGGCACTGTACCAAAGAAACCATAATTTTCTTTCAGGGTGTCATCATCTATATCTTCCTTAAAGTTTCTTCTTTTTGTCAGGTGGTAAGTATGGGAGTACAAGACACAAGATAGAGTGGTGTTTTGCCCTCATGAAGTCACCCAAAAGGGGAGACAAATAATTAAGCTACTTGCGGTGAGAGAAAATGTGTATTCTACTTTGCATTTGTTTGAGTTTATTCTTTTTTAAGTTTGACATATAAAAATATACTCTTTCAGCAGTTCATGCATCTGGAAAACAAATGTACCCAAACTAGAATGAATTAGAGGATGGATTTATTTTAAGAACTGTGCAAAACCCCAATCTGCTATATAAGAGAGTGACAGAATTAAAAGAAGCTGCTCCTCTCCTGTACAACTTTGGCGGGCCGGAGAGGGCGTGGGGCCACACAGCAAGTCTCTCCTCGAACTTGGGGGTACGCCCAGTCTCGGCCTCGCTTGCCGCACTCATTTCTCTACCACGGCGTCTGCGTCGTCTGGGCGCGGAGCCACCGGCGCACCCAGCGTGGCCCCGCCTCAGGCGCGAGAGTCCGCCGGCTCTGAACTACTGTTCCCAGAAGGCCGTGCGAAACCGGGAGGGAAGCGGCGGCAGTGGCAGGAAGGGCGCGAGCGGCAGCGGCGGGTGTCCCGTCAGTGGTCGGTCCGGCAGTCCCTGACCCCCCGGCGGAGGACGCGGCCTTGAGCGGCCCGTGCAGCTCCGGGCGTTATCCGGGGCGAGCCGGTGCCTCCGCCCGCCGAACGGGCCCGGGGCGGGATGTAGGGTGTTAGGCGCGGAGGCCGCCGGCGCGGCGGGGTGGGCGCGGAGGGCGCGCCGAGGATGGAGAGAGCGATGGAGCAGCTCAACCGCCTGACGCGCTCGCTGCGCCGCGCGCGCACAGTCGAGCTGCCCGACGGTGAGCTGGGCGAGGGGTTAGGGGTGTCTGGGGCAGCCGTGGCGTGGCGGGGGCGGGGCTCGGGCTGCGGCGAGGTCGGGTGGGTAAGCTAACCCGAAGCCGAGAAAACGCCCACATTTACTTTCTTTAGCTGGGAGGGGCCAAGCTGGAACCCCGGCTACCCCTCTACCGCTGCTCCCACCAAGGCAGGTGGGAGTTTGCTGGAGGGTCTGGGTTCTGCGGGCCCCGGTGCTGGAAGAAGCAGGACAGAAGCATCTCCCGAGTGTGGATCTGGGGTTTTGGCAAAGGGGCAAAAATATCAGTCGGATGGCGGAGACCCGGATTCAGAAAACATTACAGTTGTGGGTCATTGTACAGTCGTTGCTAGCCGGGGCTAGAGAGATGCACCAAAATAGTATTTCTATTTTAAGCTGCAGAGCGGGAGTTAAGTAGCCTTTCTTTTCTTTTCGGAAATGGAGAGTACTGTATTTTGATATTTTGACAATAAACAGACAAATAAAAGGGTGTTAAATACCAAGTATGTACTCTTAAAGTACTGTGCGTGTGTGTATATATACACTTTGAAATTATGCCTGCCTGTCTTCATTTATTCGTCAGACATAAGTGTGGGTTGGGGACCTTCCACAAAGAGGAATAAGGCATGATCCTTGTAGTTCAGGAATTTTAGCTCATTGTGCCAGGGTTTCTTTAGAACAGGCAAAGAAAGCACTAGCAATAAAGAAGGTGAGAAATAAAGCCGTTTTGTTTGCAGCCTCACGAATTGCTACGTTTTAGTGGCAGTGGGATATGGCCTTGCTGCCTCTAGGAGGCTTTCCGTTCCATTTGCCCCAGTGAGAGAAGGTGTAGGAGGTTAAGGCTGGAGATATATATATATTTTTTAATGCATTGTATTAGTGTATCTTTAATTTTTCAAAACTTTCTTTGAATTGCTGCTGGAGAGGTGATTTGTAGGTTATAGGAGACGTTAGGAGAGAGCCATCTAATAAATGTGGGAATGGGAACTTTGTGGATAATTTTCATGAAAAAATTTCCCCCTAGTCTCTATTTAGGATTAAGAATAGGGATGATTTATGTGATTTTCTGAAAAATAATTTTCTACTTGGTACTTTGCTAGTATGAAGTAGTTGACTGAAAATAATTACGATTTTAGTAACTATAGACTTCCAGCTTGAACTTCTTTCTGTGTTTTCTTTCCAACTTTTACCTTTGCGTCCATTTCTTAAGTGCTGTCCTCATTCATTTTCCACAAATTATTGGTATAGGTTAGTGAAGAACACAGCGTGCAGTTTCATTGACTTGGCAATTGTGTTGCTTAGTTTATATCCCACTATTTTTTACAAAAATATGATTTAGAAGACCTTGATAATGTTTCCTGGTCTTAAAATTAAGTGATATATTTTCATTGTAGAAAATTTCAAGAAGAAAAATTCAAAAATTGGTTATTCTACCACTTAGTAATAAACAATGTTAGTATTTTATTTCCTTCTATTATTTTTTTCTGTCTTTCTCTACCAAATTAAGATCATACGGTATATGGTCTATTATTTTGCTTTTAGAAAACATCACTTTTAAAATACCTTTAAATATGCCTAATAACCTTTCAGCTTTTCATAGGATACATGTAACAAATACTGAATTTAATTTTTGTTTTGATAATAGATTTTATGAGGAGCAGCTTTGTAGTTTTTAAGTCTTAGTCTTTCTCTAAGTCTTTCCTTAGGATTAATAAGTGGAAGAAGAATTATAGATCTAATTATGTCAACATTTGTAAAGCTCTGAGTATCAACCTCTCAACTTACTTTTTTAGAAGGTTCCACCAACAGTCTTGAGAGTCCCTGGAAACTAGAATAGTAAGTAAAAATGAAACATTGTCCCATATTGCTAGGCAAAAGTGGCATCTTGGCTTTCATTTGTTTTTTTTTTAAATTATAATGAATTTGCTCATCTTGTTTCTTTAATTTGTCTTGGTCCCTAAGTTCTGATAGATCTTTCTTTTTGAATTCTCTGAGATTCGCTTTTTCAAGTGCGTATGTGTATGTGTTATAAAAATCTAGTTATAAAAATCCAGATTGTTGGGCTTGCATTTTAGACTGCACAAAAGTTCTGAGATCTCTCTAAATTTAGGAAATATTCAGATACTTATTTTGCCATGTTAGAATTCACTGATTAATAAGCATCTGATTGGAACACATTACTAAGGTTAGAAAGTTTTTAATCAGCTTTTACTCTAAAATTAACTTTGTTGCATAGGATTAAACTGCAGATTTGATTGACTGAATTGGATTCTGGTAGAGCACATTTATATTTCTTTGGGATGATGAAAACCTGAGTATTACCACCAAGTATTATCACTAAATAATGGAGTGCAGGTTGTTGAGTCATCCTAGGCAGGGCTAACATAGGAATATTCTTGTGAGAGAGGAAGTGAAGAGAAATAAATTACTCTAGGGATATGGATTCTCAGTGGACTTTAAAAATTGGTTTATATTGTTTGATTATGTGGAAAAAATAGTCTTAAATTACTGAATTTACAGTGAATGTAGCTTGTTTCATAAGATAATGGAACTTGAGCCCATATTAGCATATATTTGAGTGATGATTAGGGTGATAATCAGTTTTTAAAAAATTGTTCCCATTTGATGGTTTAAAGAGAAATAGTATATGTTATAATGAATCTGAGCTCCCTGTTCTTCAAGGTTTTCCTTTTAGTTGTAGAGTTCTGGAACTTTATCAACTAATCAAATGGCCAACATATGTGAAAAAGTGAGAGATTAAACTTTTTTTTATCACTCTGGAAGATTTTAATTATATACCTAGTTCTTAAGGTGTCTTCCTGAGCGTGGAGAAGGAAGCAAGTGAGAAAAAATTTTATTCTCTTCTTTCATAGTATACCTTTTCCTGGATAGTCTCCTTGTAGCATCATAGTTGTGGTTTTATTTATTTCCTCATACCATTTGGTGTACGAGTTATATTTTTATAGGGTTATTTGTGAATTAAAAAGTGAGATATATATCTAAATTTTGTCTAAATAAACACCCTATTAAAACCCATGCGAACCTTATGAAGCTTATGCTCACTTAAAATTATGTACGAACTTGATTTATAAGTTTAAATTAAAAATAAGGGTCCTTCTTGTTTATGACTTTGCTTATTATGGAGAGACTTAATGAAATTGTCATGGCTTGGAAGTTCAGATGTTTATTGGGGCGTGTATCATATGAGAGAGAAAAAATGTTGCCATGCCCAGGGAGGCTTAAGTGCAGTATTTTTCAACTGCTAGTGGTGACTCACCGGTAGTTAATGAGAACAATTTATTGCAGTCAGCATTTTAAAAAAGGAAATAGAAGAGAATAAAACAAATTAGAGGGGCGCCTGGGTGGCTCAGTCGTTAAGCGTCTGCCTTCGGCTCAGGTCATGATCCCAGGGTCCTGGGATCGAGCCCCGCATCGGGCTCCCTGCTTGGCGGGAAGCCTGCTTCTCCCTCTCCCACTCCCCCTGCTTGTGTTCCCTCTCTCACTGTGTCTCTCTCTGTCAAATGAATAAATAAAATCTTTAACCCCCCCCCCCAAACAAAAACAAATTAGAATGTTTTGCACATAAAAGACTATTGTATTGTAGACCTTTTGGATACTATATGTAGTATACTGGGTGTACTGTAAGATTTTTATTGTGTGGGCTCTGGAATCAGCCAGGTTTGAATTCAAGCTTAACGACTTAGTGCCACCATCACACAGCTTGTTACTTAATTTAGTGCTCAGTTTTTTTGTTTGTAAAATGGGGATAATAATAGTACCTACTTCATAAAGTGGTTATGAGGATAAAAGAGATGATGCATGTAAAGCATTGAGAACAGTGCCTGTAAGATAATGGTTTAAAACATGTGGGCTGTTAGGACTAGGATTTTTTTTTTTTTTTTTGTAGTAAAAGAGTTGTTGCCTCTGCATGCTGAAACTTCAGAATAGTTCTACTAGGACTAAATTGCTTTTCATGAATATACTTACAAATAGTGAAGTAATGAACAAAGATGTGAAGAAATGTTGATAACTTTTTTCCTTCTTTTTGGTATATATTTCTTCAGTATATATTTCTAAATCTATAAACTGCTTTATTCAAACATAACCACAATACTATTGGTAGAGCCAGCACAAATGACAGTGATTTTTATTATCATCAAGTCCCTATTGAGTTTTCTTCTCCGAGAAACATCCTCTTACAGTTGATTTGTTTGGATCAGTACCCAGAGTCCACATATTATTACTTGGTTGATCATCTCTTAAGACTCTTTTAATGATAACAATTCCCCCTTTTTTCTTCTTTTGATAAAACTTTTTATTTTTAAGTAATTTAAGACTTACAGAAAGGTTGCATAAATAGTACAGAGTTCCCATGCATCCTTCTCCCAACTTCCCATAATGTTCACATTTTGTTACAACCATAGTACACTTATCAAAACTAAGGAATTAACATTATCATAATACTATTAACTGCATTACAGACTTTATTAAAATTTCATGAGTTTTCTCACTAATGTCCTTTTTCTAATTAGCATCCAATCAAGTTACTACGTTGCATTTAGTCATCCATGTTTCCTTAGCCTCCCCACACTGTAATAGTTCTTCAGACTTTTCTTGGCTTTGAGACTTTTTAAGAGGACTGCTTGGGTATTTTTGTGGAATTCCCCTTAATTTGGGTTTGTCTGATCTTTTTTCTATTCCTGGTGGATCGTATCAGAGGCTACATGATATTACATGATATCAATATGTATTATATCTGGTGACATTATCCTTTATCAGTTGATCAAGGTGGTATCTGCTGGGTTCTCCACTGTAAATTTACTGTTTCCCTTTGTAATTAGTATTTTGGGGAGATACCTTGATACTATGCAAAAACTTCCTCCTAAAACTTTAATTTTAGCATTGGCATTAATGTTTTAAGAGTTGTTAGAGTTACTTCTCTGTAAATAACTTAAAAAAACCCCATAAACCTCTAAAATGCATTGAATTGAGATGACCATTAGTAATATATAAAAATAAATCCAAACAAAGCTGAAATTTATATAAGTATAGTCCAATATCATAGATATTGTTGACTTTTAACCTTTTCTTTTGGATCATATTTCTGTGAGCTTCATAAAAGATATGAAGGAAAATGTGCGTAAGTGTAAAGTAATGTGGAAAAGTAAGATTTTAATGCTGTTTTGTAAAAGCTTCTAAAATAATTCCCTTTGTTATAATATTGTCAAGAAGCAAGTATTATGTATATTTAATGTTTAAAAATTATTTTAGCATATATATATATATCTATAATCGCTATATATGCTTAAAATTCCCCCAAACTACATGTAAGTTTGATAAAACAAGAACTCGGTAAACACTTTTTTGGAAGTAAAAGAAGTTTCTGTTGTTAAAGCTACGGAAAATACTAGGTCTCATTTTCCCCATCAAATCCAGAAGCTAAGCACTTTGGTGATGATGTAAAGGGGTCTAGCATTAGGATAAGAAATTCTGCATTGTTGCAGATTTTGAAATGCCTCTGGTATTCCACACTATCTTTAATCTTTCTCCTCTTCTCACTTTTTATATGGAATTAGGAAAACTCTGAAGTAGTTTTAAGTTTCACCCTTTGGAAAAACATAGGACATAAATTCTTTTTCTGTTTTTTGTTTAGTTTTTGTTTTGTTTTGTTTTTTACTCAGATAATGAAACTGCTGTTTATACATTAATGCCAATGGTTATGGCTGATCAACACAGGTGAGTGCCTATTTCAAATTTATGCTTTTTGTATAAATATAAAAAAGAAGGGCGTCTGGGTGGCTCAGTTGGTTAAGCATCCGATTCTTGATCTCAGCTCAGGTCTTGATCTCGGGGTCATGAGTTCAAGCCCGTGTTGGACTCCACACTGCATGTGGAGCCTACTTTAAAAAAGAAAGAAACAAACAAAACCTCTCAAAAACTAAAAAAAAAAAAAAAAAAAAAAATACAAGAGAAGTATAAATTTACCTATGTTGGATACATATACATGCACAAACATAGTTTGGACATAGATGTTGTCCTGGGACATGCTGTTTAACCTCTTTTATAGTTTATTGTCTGTGAAATAAAAACCAAGATTTTCTAAGATCCATCTCAACTGTAAAATTCTATGGTAAGAGATGTTCTGAATGAATTATCAGATATTAAGTCAGTTATTTGGTTGGTCACTGACAATTAGAACAACATTGTGATGGTTTCAGTTAGAGGTCACTACTGATCTTTATTGCAAAAGGTTAGGGCTGATGGAAACTTACTTCCTAATGTTCTGCTTTGATGTTCTTTTTATTGATGTAGTGTGGACACTCTTTACAGGGCGCATATGAGATACAGTTATCTGGCTGGGTGATGAGATGTTTATACTTGTAGCGGGCAGCTCTGCTGTGGTTAGCCATTGGGTAGTTGGTATAATAAGGTGACAAGGAAACTATTTTGAAACAAGTTTAAAATATAAATAATTTTTTGCTTTAAACTTCCTGTGTGATACAACTAAAACATGTTTAAATCTGATTTTTCTTTTTTTTTTTTAAAGATTTTATTTATTTATTTGAGAGAGAGAATGAGAGAGAGAGAGAGCATGAGATGGGGGAGAGTCAGAGGGAGAAGCAGACTCCCCGCCGAGCAGAGAGCCCAATGCGGGACTCGATCCCGGGACTCCAGGATCATGACCTGAGCTGAAGGCAGTCGCTTAACCAACTGAGCCACCCAGGCGCCCTAAATCTGATTTTCTTAATTGGCCAAAATTAATATAGGGAGGCTATACTTTTTGCAAGGGGAGCAGCTAGCCCAACTCTCTTTGTTTCTCAAGAATCTAGGGAGAACTGAAGCCAACTTAGGTATCTTCGGAGCAGATGATATAGATCAGCAGATGAGGAAACCTTCAACACCAGTTTATAGGTCAGTGCAGTTTTTTTTTTTAAGATTTTATTTGAGAGAGAGAGAGAGTGAGAGAGAGACAAAGAGAAAGAGCACAAACTGGGGGAGAGGCAGAGGGAGAACCAGACCCCCGCACTGAGCAGGGATCCTGATGTGGGGCTCCATCCCAGAACCCTGGGATCATGACCTGAGCCGAAAATCAGACACTTAACTGACTGAGCCACCTAGGCACCCCAGTGCAGTTGTTTTTTGGATGAAACTGTTGGCTACTATGCTGTGCTTAGAGAATAGTGCTTTGTTTTTTGACTGACTTGGGACAGAACTTTTTGGATAATTGGTTAGAGTAACTAAAGGGCAATTAACTTGAGTTACTATGTTTTTTAAAACTTTTTTTTTTTAACATATTGATTCTTTTAATTTTCTTTTGGCTTAGGTCTGTTTCTGAGCTACTATCAAATTCAAAGTTTGATGTCAATTATGCATTTGGACGTGTGAAAAGAAGCTTGCTTCACATTGCAGCAAAGTAAGAAGGAGGATATTTTGGATTAAAGTCTGGTCTAGCACAGTGATCAGTAAGCTTTGGATCAGTGTTGTCCCACAATAGTTATGGGAAGAGATGAGAATAGACTGCTGAACAGTTCTTTATTCTGTTTAGAGCATAGTGTGCTGTGTTTGCATTCTTTTTCTAGATACGTCAACCTTGAGATCAGACTCAAGTCTCACATCTACTATCTTAGCTTGTTCTAGGTCAGATCAGTAGTTTATCTTTCCTGGATGTACTTGAGAGAGTACATTCACTGAAAATTTTCTCTCATCCAACCAGTATGAAATTTTATATGTTAACTGCACATGAAGCCATTGGCTTTATATTTTTTACTTAGGTATGAGAATGATTTTAATCCATAATCTTCCAGTTACATATGTAATCAATCAATTAATTGATATCTAACTTCCTTTCAGGACTTAGGTAGATATGTTAAAATTAATTTTTCATAATGAGTTTGGCTTCTGGAAGGCCAAAGAATTGAGAGTACTATGTGGTTTCTTTTATGTATTAATACTTTATTTTGCTTTATTTGAACATCTCAAATACTTCATAGCTTTCATAGTAGAATGTACCTTCTTGAAAGTAGAGGATATTTACTATTTATGACAAGTTAAATCAAATTGTAGGTTAATAATGGACCTTAAAAATGTGTTTAATGGAGCTTTTTGTTTTTTTAATTGAGGTGTATGTCAACTGACTGTTGAATGTATCTGAACTGTTTTTAATATTGTTTTAGTTGTGGTTCGGTGGAATGCTTGGTCCTGCTATTAAAGAAAGGAGCAAATCCTAACTATCAAGATATTTCAGGTTGTACGCCCCTTCATTTGGCAGCTAGAAATGGGTAAATATTTTGTCCCTTGAGTAGCTTAAGTTGTATTATCAGTTATGACTGACAGTATTCAAGGCTTTCTGGATTTGGTGATTTTTTTTGACCAATATTTGCCTTGGGAAGAGGGTCGTGGGTCATTGTATTCAATATTTAAATAACTGTCATATTTAATAATTTATTAAATTGTTTACTAATATTTTTTCTTGAAAATATACTTAAGTTCATTTTTACTTGTATTATAATGATATTTTATTTTCTAAAAAGCATCATTGTCACCCTCTTTGTTTTGGTGTCCTTTTTCCTGCTCATTCTTTTTCACATCTATTTCCATACCTTATTTTCCAAATCACTTGTTCAGTTAATTTTATTAATGGAATTAAAGACGGAGTAAATATATTATACCCAGCTTATTTATATCTTTTTGAGAATGGGCTATACTGTAGTAAACTTTCTAAATTAGGGTAACTTACTCCTTTCAGTACCAAAACTTACCTTTCCTTTTAATTATGACAAAAAGTTTTCTAAATAAATAATGTATTTACTACCCTTCCTTTTGAAATTTTTTATTAAATAATTTTTCCCCTTATAATAGTGTTTCTAAAATGTAAATATATTTTTGCTTTTTCCTGATAACTCTGGTCTTCATTATGAACATCTTTATGTTATTCTATGCTGGTTTATTTTACTTTTATATTATATATATATATATATATATATACACTTTTATATAATATATGTAATATAAAAAAGCTCTATTTACTTTTTTAAAGTTTTATTTATTTGAGAGAGAGAAAGAGAGATGCTTGAGAGATAGAGTAAGGGCAGAGGGAGAGAATATCAGACAGACTCCCTGCTGAGCATGGGGCTCCATCTCAGGACCCTGAGTTCATGACCTGAGTCGAAACCAAGAATCAGACACGTAACCAACTGAGCCTCCCAGGTGCTCCATTGTGTGGTATTTTAAACGCAACTATACTTTTTTATGGCTTTCTTTCTCACTTTTTTGTTGAGAATTTCAGATATCACATCTCTGTGTCTGCCTCTACTTACTACTATTTTTTACTATTTTTTTTTTTTTAAGATTTTATTCAGTTACGTGACAGAGAGAGAGAGCACACAAGCAGAGGGAGAGGGAGAAGCAGGCCTCCCACCAAGCAGGGAGCCCAGCACGGGGCTTGATCCCAGGACTCCGGGATCATGACTTGAGCCAAAGGCAGATGCTTAACCAACTGAGCCACCCAGGCGCCCCTATTTTTTTATGTCTTAAAATTCTGTTGGACTGAGGGGTGCCTGGGTACCTAGGCTCAATCGGTTAAGCGTCCGACTCTTGATTTCAGCTTAGATCATGATCTCAGAGGCCTGGGATCGAGCCCCACATTGGGCTCCACACTCAGCAGGGAGTTTGCTTGAGATTCTCTCTCTCTCTCTCTCTCTGTCCCTCCCCGCCCCCATCTCCCCCTCCCCCCTCTCTTGTGCGGGAGTGTGTATGTGTGTGTGCTCTCTCTCTAAAATAAGTAAATCTTTAAAAAAAATTCTGTTGGACTGAGAAACCATACCAAATGGCTGGAATTATGTTTAAAATGAAAAAAGTAGTTTTTGACTCAGGGCTTGAAGAACTTATATTTATAAACATGTTTCAAATATATAAAAGTATATTCCTAGGGCACCTGGTTGGCTCAGTCAGTTAAGCTTCAAACTCTTTGATTTCGGCTCAGGTCATGGTCTCAGGGTCATGAGACCGCTTTTGGGCTCTGTGCTGGACATGGAACCTGCTTAAGATTCGCTCTCTCCCTCTCCCTTTGCTCCTACCCTATCTCTCCTTCCCCCTGTCTCTCAAAAAAAAGGTATATTCCTATGTCTCTTTTTTTTGTTTACTTTTTTTTTTTTTTTAAAGATTTTATTTATTTGAGAGAGAGAGCATGAGTGGCGGGGAGAGAGGGGCAGAGGGAGAGGGAGAAGCAGACTCCCTACCACACAGGGAGCCTGCTGCAGGGCTCAGTCCCAAGACCCCAGGATCATGACTTGAGTCGATGACAGAAGCTTAACTGATGGAGCCACCCGTCTGCCCCTCTTCTTTTGATTACTCTTGAAAATATTTTTGTTTCTTGTTTTGACCTGAGATTCTAGGTAGTTGAGGGAGATGCCTGACTGAGATATGGGGCTAAAATTGTGTACTGCATCATTCTGAGACCAAATTTTTGCATACAAGGATTAAAGTGGAACCAAAAATAAAAGAACCATAGTGATATCTAGGTTGGACAGGGAAAAGGCATACTCCTTTGACCCTGTTTGGTCTGATCCAGTTCTTGATTTAGCATGTGAACCAGTTGTCCACTGTTCTGATAGGTAACAAGGTAACAATGTGCTAATTAAACAACTATTTTTATAATAGCCACACTGGTGATGTTTGTAGGGTGTCACACCCAAGGTCATAGATCTTGTTGAATTCATTCCTTGCTGAATTGATCTCAGATCTAGATACGTTATCCCAAGGGTTGGTAAGCTAGTGACAAATCTCTTTCAAAAAGTTACACGTAGAAAAAAAGCTCAGTACTCTAGATCAACGACTGTAAGTGAAAGGAGAGATTGGTGCACAGTGGGGATAAAATGTCTATTGCCATTGTAGTCAGAGACTTAAGTCATTTAGGAGATCATTACTTTTTTTTTTCTAGTTTTGTTGAGCTATAACCAACAAAATTGTAAGATTTTTAAAGTGTACATCATTAAGATTTGATAGACATCTACATTGTGAAAGGATTCCTTTCATTTAGTTAGTAAACACATCCATCACTACTATCACCTTACATATTTATCTTTTTTTGGGTGGAGGTGTGAGAACATTTAAGTTGGAGACTTAATGTCTCCAAGAAATCGCTTGATTTACATGGCAAGTCAGTGAGGAGAGAAGGAATAAGAAGAGTTTGTAACCTTAACATAACATCTAATTTGGATACCTTTCTGTTTCTATAAAGATTGTGATATTCAATACTTGACTATTCTAGTTTTTGTTACTGGGTGCCTTGTACAACTTAGAGTGGCTCCATAAATGTTTACTGAGTGGCTTGAGTACATGTTACTCCTTGTAGCTTCTGATATTTTCAGAAATAGCTTTTTATTATAATTTCTTTATGAGTTCAAATTTGTCTAGGCTGAAGCGGAAGTCACAGGGGACTTATGCCCCTTTTGCTTGTCCATCCGTGTTTGGGAGTTTGTTTTTTGTTTTGCTCCCTCAGTTACCGTTAGATGAGTAGTAGAATTCTCCTGGCCTGCTTTATCATTCCTCTCATTAACTGGTAGTACTGGGTGCGCTGGTACTGAATTGCCCTCCTTCCCAGTAGAAGACCCATTGAGCTACCACAGAGCACTAGGATGATTTGCCCCTGTGTCATTTGGGTTACCATAAGCTTCCCGTAATTGTTGCAATATCTGGGCAGGAAAATAGTTGCTTCCTGTACAGGAGGATCCAGTGTTGCTCATGATTATATGAGATTGTTAAAAAAAAATAAAAGACTTCAGAATTGTTGTGTATTCTTAGGTTGCATGTTGGTCAGATTTGAAACACGATTTTTTGCTTTATATTTTGGGCTAGGTTGTGACCTCATAAAGGGCAGAGCCCATGTGTTAATTAATATTTTAGCTCTAATTCTTGGCAAAATAAGTGCTCATTTAGTGGATTGTTTTGACATCCTGAGATTCTATAAAATATCAATAATGATTGTTAAATGAGAAAAAAAGGATACATTTCTCATACTGCTGTCTGTCTTTTACAGTTCATTTTTGGTTTGGGAAGCATTATGGATTTTTGCTTTCCTTCAGCAGCTCCCTCTAAACACCTCCTTGGGACTATTTCCCTGGCCCATTTCCACCTAAGTGTTTGTTTTGGCAATAGGCAAGTGGTCTAAGAGGCTCTTGAAGATGTTTTAGAAATCCAGCAATATGGGTATAGGCACACATACACATATTTTGAACAATGTATTCATTTTAATAGGGCTGTCTGGTCTGTTGTCTCAGGATTGTTGAAGATTTATTTCCTATGGTTTTCAGAACAGTTTATTAGATAAGCTTTATAAATGTTGAACTTACAAGTTTCTCAGAACTTTTTCTTTCTTTTCTTTGACTATAATGCTGATTTTAAATTACATTTAATTTCATTTCAGATACAAAAAGCAAAGCTAGAAAAGTAATTTGTTCCCTTTTAAAAAGATCTTTTCAGTTAATAAAAATTTTAGCTATTAACTTAAAGGATTGAATAATTAATAATCAGTCAATAAAGTTTTACTGAGTTCATTGAGAGCACCTAGCTATGCTTAATACTGAGTTTATTAAAGAAGTATACAATTCATGGCATGAGAAATTTTTTTTTTTTTTAAGATTTTATTTATTTATTTGACAGAGACAGCGAGAGAGGGAACACAAGCAGGGGGGAGGGGGAGAGGGAGAAGCAGGCTTCCGACGGAGCAAGGAGCCTGATGCGGGGCTCGATCCCAGAACCCTGGGATTATGACCTGAGCCAAAGGCAGACGCTTAACGACTGAGCCACCCAGGTGCCCCATGGCTTGAGAAATTTATGATCTAATTGAGTGAATGGTAACACATAAACATATATACTCTATTATATACTATCTATTTTGTATATAGCATATATAGTACTACAAATGTAGTATATCCATATGTTAATACTGTATATGTAACATATGGTATATAATACGCTATTACATATACACTGTTACATATTTTTTATATGTCACAGTTTTTTCATTTTATTTCAGATGTTAAAACATTTGTTTAAAAACCTATAGATTGATACTTGCCATCAACTAGTATTGAGTGTTGTCAATATTTCAGTAAAATAATTGTCATTGGCTTATTTTTCTTGTACCAGTTATCTCTGTCTCTTTTTTCTTTTCAGGCAGAAGAAGTGCATGAGTAAATTATTAGAATACAGTGCTGATGTCAACATTTGTAATAATGAAGGCCTTACAGCAGTAAGTGCTAAGAATTTATGTGAGAGCTTTAAAATACTTTTTAGAAAATAATATTGAAGGTGATAGTAATGCAAAGTGCAGTACAAATGTTTCTGCAGGTTACTTCTGTAGAAAGATTTGAGACATAGTTCTCTACTGTATTTATTAAGAGAAGTTATGGGTTCACTATGTTTCTCCTTTCTCCTTTTTGTTTGTGACCTTTCATTTATTTTGAAGCCTTTTTCCTCTAGCTTTTGTCACTGACTTTCAGGTGATTTTTTAGAAGCATGTTATGAGTTCATTATAGGAGAGCTATTTTTTATTATGTCCTTTAAAATTATTTTAATATGTACATTTCAGAAAAATTGGATGGCTAGGTAGAAAGGAAAAAGGTAATGAATGGAATGATCACTCACTATATCCTCTGCACTCAGAGATAATCACTGTTAATATTTTGGTCTATATCTTTCAGACTTGTTATATCTTACCTAAACTAGTATTTTTATCCATTTTGCTGTGTCACTTTCTTTTTAAAAATAAGTTAATATATTTTTGATCCATGTAGATGTTATTTGGAGGTAGTGTGGGATATTTCTGAAAAGATTGTTGAAATCCAAAAATTTTTTAAAAATTTATTTTTATTTTAATTCCAGTATAGTTAATATACAGTGTTATATTAGTTTCAGATGTACAAAATAGTGATTCAAGAGTTCTATACATGAAATCTAAAAATATTAATCATTATCATTATTTAATGGAGCTTTATTCATTTTAGAAGTAGATATAAAATAGAATTATGTGATTATTGAGAAATTATTTTGAAGTTGTGACAGAAGATGTTAAATTTTTTTTTTTTAAGATTTTATTTATTTATTTGACAGAGATAGCGAGAGCAGGAACACAAGCAGGGGGAGTGGGAGAGGGAGAAGCAGGCTTCCTGCCAAGCAGGGAGCCCGATGCGGGGCTTCATCCCAGGACCCTGGGATCATGTCCTGAGCCGAAGACAGATGCTTAACGACTGAGCCACCCAGGCGCCCTGTGGATGTTAAATTTTATATATTAAATTTTACCTTCCTGTATGTGAGGTTACGCATGTATGAATTAAGTGGATGTTGAGAATCCTTTCATGATGCCTATCAAATCAATATGTTGTATCCTTTAAATATCCTACAATTTTGTCAATTATACCTCAATAAAGTTGAAATAATTTTTTATTAAGTTTTTAATTCTAATTCCAGTATAGTTAACATACAGTATTCTATTAGTTTCAAGTGTACACTATAGTGATTCCACAATTCTATACGTTATTAAGTGTCCATCATGATAAGTGTACTCTTAATCCCCTACACCTACTTCACCCATCCCCCCCCGCCCACCTCCCCTCTGGTAATCATTAGTTTGTTCTCTGTAGTTAAGAGCCTGTTTCTTGGTTTGAAAAAAAAAAATTTTTTTTTTTTACCTTTCTTGGTAGTATTTGTAGATTCTGAATCTTTTAATTTGTGGATAAAGAATATTATTTACATACCATGCCAGTTTTCAAGGCTTTCTGACTAAAATGAAGGTGGGGATACTGGGCATAAAAAAACAGCTTCCCTAAGATTTGCTTTGTTCTCTGTGAATGACTTATTTAAGATAAAGAATAAGCTCAATCATTATTAATATGGAACCCACAATTCTTGTGATAATCTAGATTTTGTTTTATATATATGTGTGTGTGTATATTAAGATTTTATTTATTTTTTTTGAGATAGAGAATGAGAGAGAGTACGAGCCGGGGTGCAGAGAGAGAGGGAGAAACAGGCTCCCCATTGAGCAGGGAGCCCGATGCGGGGCTTGGTCCCAGGACCCTGGGATCATGACCTGAGCCGAAAGCAGATGCTTAACCAGCTGAGCCACGAGTCGCCCTGATTTTTTAATATATTAACAACATAATGCCATCTGTTCTGTAAAGAAAAACTGTAGAATGAATATTTACAAGATGCTTAGTGATATGCTACCTACTACTGAGGATTATAAAATTATGGAACTAACATAGACCTATCTTTAGGACACTATCTAGTATAGGCAAGATAAGATGTTCAATATTAACATAATCTAATCACATAAATTTTTATCTGCTAACTTCTCACTTTCACTCCTGAACTTTAGGAGAAGTAGAGTAGAAAAGTTTTTTACCTAAAATATTATTAATGCATCTATTTAAAGAGTCAAATGATTCTACAAAGCTTACTGTAGAAAAATAGTTTCTGCACTCTTTCTGCCTGGGACCAACCTTGGTGTTTTCTCCTATGGCCTGAATGGTATAGTGTGCTGCCACCTCTTGGAAATTATTCTGGCCACCAACATGATTCTTCCTAGTCCCAGACCACCATGATGGAGTTAATTCAACAGCTGGGCCCATTGACCCGATCAGCTAAAGGAAGCTGGGATGGTGAAAACGTGTTGCTGCAGAACTGAATAGTTGCCACCAAACATGTGGGACAGTAAAGCCAATGGCTCCTGACTTGGAAGAAACTTTCAATGAGGAGCCAAGAGCCCCAGGATTTTTCTTACAAAAAGAGAGAACTGTTGAGTGCATGCTTTCTAGGCTGGTTATCCTCACAAAGGACTCCTCATATTTCTTCATTTGTTGTTTCAACAGGAATTTCTTGAATACCTACTATGGGCTAGGCACTTTGCTATTGTGGGATAGAGCCATGAATATGGTCCTTGTTGTCCCCAAACGTATAAGGAAGACAGGGAAGTTTTTTTTTCTTTCAAGTTCTTATTAAAGTTCAAGTTAGTTAACATTTAGTGCAGTGTTGGTTTCAGGAGTAGAATTTAGTGATTCATCACTACATACAACATCCAGTGCTCATCACAAGTGCTCTCCTTAAAGCCCATTTAGCATGTCCCCTCACCCACCCCCCCTAGTTTGTTCTCTGTAGTTAAGAGTCTTTTATGATTTGCCTCCCTCCATGTTTTTATCTTATTTTTCCTTACAGGAAGACTGGAAAGTTAACAGGCAGTGGTAACACAGTGTAATGAATGTCAACATAGGAGAAGGAGATGCTATGGAAGTCTGGCAGGGGACCCATCCTCACTTAAGGCATTAGAAGAGGCATCCCAGGGACATATCACATGAGCTGAGGCCAGGACAAACAGAAGTTAGACTGGTTAAAGTGGTGGTTGTGGGGCTGGGGGGGGCGGGAAGAGAGTTCTGGCTCTACGGAATAGATTCGTGAATGCTTGGAGGTGAAAGAAGGCATGCTACATTAGAGTGGTGAGCTTAACTGGTGTTCAGGTACCCCAGGGGTTCATGGAGACTTTCCAAAGGTTTTTGGCATGGATAGTTACAGGGATCACTTTCCAGGTCTTTAGCTTCTAGATGTGCTTTTTTTCCCCAAGATGATATGCTCAAGAACATCCTGCAGTAGAGAGCCTACCCTTCCCACATTCACCTTCAAAATCGCTCTCCCACCACTTTTTTTTTTTAAAGATTTTATTTATTTATTTGATAGGGGGAGAGAGAGTGAGAAAGCACAAGCAGGGGGAGCGGCAGAGAGAGAGGGAGAAGAAGGCTTTCTGCTGGGCAGGGAGCCCGACATGGTGTTTGTTCCCAGGACCCTGGGATCACAACCTGAGCTTAACCGACTGAGCCACCCAGGTGCCCTCTCCCACTGCTTTTTTTTTTTTTTTTAAAGATTTTAAAAATTTATTTGATAGCACGAGCACAAGCAGGGGGAGTGGCAGGCAGAGTGAGAGGGCTAAGCAGGCTCCCCACAGAGCAGGGAGCCCAATGCAGAACTTGATCGCAGGACCCTGGGATCATGACCTGAGCCGAAGGCAGACACCCAACCCACTGAGCCACCCAGGCGCCCCTCTTCTGCTGCTTTTTGAATGAAGTACATTTTATGCTTATCCATCCTGAGTATTACTAAGGCACATTGTCTAGGATGGCCTGGGGATAGTGACAAGCAAAAGAACAATTCAAAGTATTGGTGTCGGCAAAGGCTGTCATTCAGTACCATAAACCATAAAATCATGGTAGGATTTCGTAGACTTTTCCCTGCCTTATACATATTGCTTTTAGGGGTAAGGTCATTAGACTTAACTCGGTTTGTTCTGAACTCAGCAAAATTATAAAAGTGAAGAGGTGGGAGTGATGGAATATTTGGTTGGCGATGCCGCCTATATCATCCCCCAACAACTGTCAGAGAATTCATTGCCTCTAACAGAGATCTACAAGAACAAAGAAAAGAACATTAGTAAAAAAATACTGCAGGCAATGTTGACTTAATCAGGGTGAGACATGTATCTTACCTATCTGTATCAGGACAAGGGAGGAAATAGGCAGTGACTGCTAATGGTAGTGGGTTTCTTTTTGGGGAAATGAAAATGTTCTAAAATTGATTATGGTGATGAATGCGCAACTGTGAATATACCAAAACCGCTAAGGTGTATATTTTAAATAGATGGATTGTATGGCATTTGAACTGTATGACATTATACCTCAAATAAATACACATCTGTATTGTGATCCCACCCCACAAAAAGGACATATTCTCTTGACTTTCTTCCTCAGGCTCTATAAACTTGTAACTGTAGTTAGCTCTTCTCAACTATTTTAATAGATGTAAAAATACTGTTTCCTTACATCTAAATAACATGCTAGTATTGCTATTTTTTGATTTTTCAGTTTTAGGCATCACCAATTGACTTTATGGAAGATAAGGTTATTTGCTCTCTTTTTCAGCCCCACCTCCCCTTATCCCATCATGTACAATCACATTTCCCTCACACCTTTCCAATATAGTTGTAATTTTAATTAGATCATTTTTCAGTATTTTGATTTTTAAAAAATTATATACATACTGTTCATAGTTAGGCCAAATAGTTTGCTATAGTTACTTTATTACATAGCATTTTGATTTTCATGTAGTTAATAATGGCATTCTAAAAAAATTGAGATAATTTTACATTCATATGTACCGGTAAGAAATAATACAGAGGAATGCCCTCTATATATTGCCCAGTTTCCC